TAACAAAAAGCTTAAGAGTTTTTGTCATAAATATTTATTTGTTGATAGACACTTTTCTAGATTCTGATTTCGACGGACGTCAGCATTGAATAACTACCAGTGTTGGCGCAAGTTTTTAAGAATGAAAAAAAAAACACTTCTTAAGTCATGTATATGCAGTTGTATAATTATATAGGTATATGCATAAGAATGTAGCTGGTGGTTCCGCATGACACTGACAATGTCGTTCGCCACTCTTCGCTGCTACAATTCACCAAATAATCGCTTAAGCGCAGCATTGATAAGCGAACGCTGATTGCTAACGAACTGACATACCACAAAAATTAAAGAAAATAACCATAGAACAGTGAAAAATAGTGAAGTAATAAAAAACAAGGTAAAAATTATGAATCAAATTAGGGAAATATAAGAAATTCGCAAGAAACTCGCTATTATTGAGTTAAGCGTTTCTTGAGGTTTAACATGCACCCACATTTTTTTTGGTTTTCATATAAACATAAATATTATATTTTTAATAATTATCCTATAAATTTTTTATATATCAGTGGCAAAAGGTTAAAAAGACTTAAGTTGATTTAACATAATTTTGAAATTTTTTTTTTATTTTACAATTTATTCGGAATATAAAAAATTTTTAAATCTTAAATGTTATAGTAAAGTCAGAAGCTTCACTTTATGATATAAAACAGAAAACTGATATGCTCAGAATTTTACTAGAAATCAAAAATTTCTAACTTAGCTTAATTGGACTTAAGCCCTTTAATTTAGTAGCATAAACTTTTTACTAACATTTTACTTTAATGCTGCTTTATAAATAGTTTTAATGTTTTTACATTATTTTCCGTGCTTATTCAATGCAGCCCACAATCTAATGTGGCAGCCCACGTAAATCGCGTTAGTGGCAGCTGAGAGCTTAAAATCAAAAAAGAAAAAAAAAAAATATTAAAAAAGAAGAAGTATAAAAAAAGTCATTAAGCATAAAATTCTTGGACACTAGATATGAGCAACTAATTTGGAAGGCAATTACGTGTATTTTAAATAATAAAAAAGAATACAGGCAAAACAACGGGCCGCTGAGTGGCGTTAGAGTTACTAGTTAGATAAAGCACACTCGGCGATGACAGATAAAATGTGCGTATCAGTGCGTGCTTATGGACTTTTGCTTGTTGGGTGTAGCGTGTGGCAAAAATAAAAAAAAAAGTTAATTGAAATTTTTGCTATAAAAATAAATTTTTTTTTGTAAACTAAATAAAAGAAATTAAAAAAAAAAAATTACCTGTATTCGTTATAAACCATTGGGGTGTCGCGCGTGAGAAAACAATATTTAAATAAAAAAATTTTTACAAAATATGAGTATTTTTCAACTAAAAGTAAAAAAGCAAAGTTATTTTTTGTCGAATTTCTGCAATTTTTATTATTTTATTGTTTTGTTCCTAATTTTTAAATTTCAAAATCAATATCTTCTGTCCCACTGTAGCACATCTGCAACACTACCTGCATTTTAAATATGCAGAGCACAAAGCAGTCAAAGTCGGAGCAATCGAAATGAAAACGTAAAACAAAAATGGCATTTATATCTTATTATTATTCAAATTTAAAACTCATTTTTTCGCTTGCTTTCATTATAATTTCGAATACATTTTTTTATACGACATTTTGCTTGCAAATATCCTCAGTGACAAAGCGACGACACTGCGACAAAATTTTCTGTTGCTTTTACCAACACACATACAACAACAACAACACGTAGATATACAGGGATTTTATTTATAGCCATGTCTCATGCTGTGAATTTACTTGTTATGATGATTTATACATTTTTAAAAACCCAACCAACGCCATGCATACGAAGCGTTGAGCAGCGAACGACAGCGGTAACAAAAACCACACAAATAAATTAAATGAAATCAATTTTTGAAAAAACGAAAAGCAGAGGATAACACACAGCTGCCAAAACGCATATTGCAAAATAAAAGCAACAACTTTTCGCTCATATGCTTTTGGTACTACTGCTGTTTTCTTGAATTTAGCCGCAGAATGTTGCCGCAACCTTTTTTTGAATAAGAAAATTTATTAAAAATAATAAAGCAACATGTTGCTATGCAGCCAGCTGCGCACGTAATTTACTTATTTTCTCGGCTGCGAAATCATTAATTTTGTGCCTTAACATTTTCTTTCCACCACACACCCTCAACGACAATGTTCATGCCGCAAAGGCGTGTTGTAATTAGTTGAAAACAACATTTTAAATGCACCCATGTCAGCCATTTTTAATTTAGCGCATATGAATGCAGTGAGTCAAGCTTACGGCTGCTCTATATTTGTAGCTTGCTGTGTATATACGTAAGCGTGTGCACAGTGGGCCGTGTCGCCACCGCTCGAGGCGTTTGCTACAATTTTGTTTCGCATAGCATAGTTTTGCCATTTTTCTTCTCTCAATATATTTTCAGTTTTCTACTGGTGCATATTTTATGTTTTCCTGTTGTTAACAATTGCTGTTTTGCTGTTGTTGTGGCGACCACCAAACACTATAATTAACTCCACGCCAAGCATACGCTGGCGTTTGTCCACACACACATACTCAAATATATAGAAATCTACTTGTGCTCACTCTTATGAACCATACGACGGCTGACATTTGCCGCTGACGTTTCGACATGAGCAATCAAATATGGCGACAGCAACAAAAGCACCAGTCAAAATGCGCTGACGAGGCATCTCGACGCTGTGCGCGCTTTTTAGCTGTTCTTTTGCTGACTTTTTCCTCTCTAATTGGTTTTGTTTTTTGTTACTTGGCTGCAGAATGCGTGCGATATTGATTTTTGTGTGTTTTAATAGTTGGACAGAAAGAGAATTGTTTTTTTTGTTTTGCTTTTGTGGCAGCCACACAGCGCTGTTGTTGTTACTGTTATTTTTGTTATTGTTGCATTTATGCTTCGGTCAAACCAGTTAGACAACTTTACTTGCGCAGCAACATAACAATTTGGCTATAGCAGCTGTAGTAGTAGAGTTTATTGCTTGCTTATGTTTTGAATGTATCCGCAACATGTTGAATGTTGCTAGACGCAATTGAAGTGTTTGGAAAGCGTAGGAGGCGGTAGGAGTTTATTAAAAATTACAATAGTAACATATATGAAAAATCTAATATAAACACAAAAAATTAGACAATATTCCGTTTTAGTATAAATATCTATAAATTAATTACTTTAACCTCGTCGACAGTTATATTTTATTATATTGACGCTTAGTGCACGCAATTGTTTGAAAATTAAATCTTTACGCCTTTTGGCTTACTCCTGCACAATGTCATTTCACAGCTGTCATTTTGACACTTTGGTCACACACAATCTGTTAACGATTTGCCACAAGGTCAAGCCGAAGAGGCTTAACTGACGCACAAAAATCGATGTAGCGTTGAACCAGTAAAGGCAGCGCAGACCGCCCACCGTAGTGCCAATGCATTTTGACAGCCAACTGTCAATGTCACTGGGAACATACAACAAAGCATACAAAACTGCAACGGAATTCCGTAACAAAAGTGAATAATAATAATAAAAAAGTAACAACAACACAATAATTGTTTCATTGGAAGCAAACAAAGCGAGGCGTATTGGTGGTGCAGAGATTTTAAGCAGATTATAGGCTAAGCGCGTACAATAACAACCACGATGAGAGTTTACAAAACCCAGCGGGAAGCGCAACGGAATGAAAACAATCAGAAAAATTACAACAAAAAAAAATGTTTTAAAGCAAGGCAGTCTACAATGTATGCAAGTAGTATAATGATATTCCCATATGCAGCCACTTTGCCTTTACCTGGTGCCGCACAACAATGTTTCCAATATTTTCGTAAGCAGATGCGGTCGAACTACCTGTATATGAGAGCCAACAACCCAGAGCATGCATTACAATATCAGGAGGTGTTTACAAGAAAGGTTGTGTGTGTACGTTTGTATGTTGTAGTTGTTGTTTTTGTTGTACTGGAGTGGCTTTGTTTGCATGAAAATCGAAATGTTGTGCGCAAAATGTGGATTCGTCATGCCGCAAGCATGACTAATGCTCTTACTGATGAAAATACTAACAGACAATCAAATGCATATACACATACAAGCACATGCATACAGACATACACATAGTTTCATATATGCTTATATGAATGTTTACAGCCGAAACCCCCACTGTTCGGTTGCCAAAAAGACAAGCGCAAAGTAAAAATGCGAAATGCGACAAAAGTGCATGACACAAAACAAAAATAGATAACATTTTATATAAAAAGAATTGTTGTAATAATAGAAAAAAAAAAAAAAAAAATACAACTGAAAGCAGTGATGAGATAAGCCGCCAGCGTCTGCGGTAATGTTGTTGCCGCGGGAAAAAGAACAGTTGTACACAATGAGCGGTGAATATTTGTAGTGAATTGGGCGGCTTAAGCACACACACAAACACATACAAACGTTTATACGTTTAACACTTGCCACAATAAATATGCGTATTGCTCCGTATGCAGGCACTTGCAAAGACTCTGCCATAAACGCACCTATACATGTATTAATGTATGTGTATAGGTATGTGTGTATGCCGTTGAGCATTTTGCAGCGTTTTAGTTTATTACAGTTGTTGGTAATATAAAATTTTATTGTCATCGGTTGTGGCGCAAATGTGCTCACAATTCGAAACATAAACAAAATGACACGCATAGTGTTGCATAGATAAAAATTATCAAAGCAATAATTGATAAAATGCCACCTACGTGGTTGAAAATTAAAAAATAATTGCACAAAAATGCATTAAAATGCGCTAAAAGCAATAGTTTTGCTATAATTTCATATATTTTTTGGTGTGTTATGATTTTCAATACATTTTTTGACGTTATACACAATAAATTACAACAGGTTTTTCTTTTAAAATGCCGAATAAAAATCAATTGCAAAATAATAATAATTTGCTAAAACTTGCAACAATATATTAATCAGAAATTTTTCTTCCTCTACTCTTTCCAGATAAGATCACAGAAACCCTACTACACAGCGGATCCTGAAGTCGACTCACTGGTAAGTGTTTCATACATACAAATATATGCAAAGTCATACACAGAAACCTTCAATTGCATTTAAATGTATCTCACCCATAAATAGATTAATTAATCGCACTTACAACATATTGCCGCTATTGCAATTGTAATAAATACATGTTGCATAGTGCCATAATATTGACACAACAAGTTCACCTTGACCTCAAAACAAAATGCAAAATTTTAAATTATCAAATACAAACAATAAAAACAGCAACAACAACAATTCACAAAGCAACATTTAATGTTGGCGATGTATAAACATATAAATTTTTCAATTCAATTCAATTAGAAGAGCAGCCGTTGGCCGTTGCAATGTGCTGCAGCGACTGTTGCTCGTAAAAAGAAACATTTTTATTTTGCCGCTTAAATAAATTTGTCGCAATTTGCCGTTGATCGCCGCAACCGAAGCGGCGCAGCGACTAACGCATGCGCACTTGTCGTCAAGCAAGTTCAATGTCGCTATTGCAAATTTACTGCATTTGTTTTGTAGTTTTATTATTAAAAAAGGGGGGAAAATTATACTGCAACGGTGTACTGAAATTTGTGAAAACCATTAAGCACACAACAACAGAAAATTATCATTCTTAATCTCAAGTGGCTGTGATCCGGCATGTCAAAGCGCTACGATACATAAACAAATACAGAATGACAAACCGAGCGCGCCGCGTACATATGCAACTGTTGCACATATGCATGCATATATTGCATATACATATATATGTTTGTTGTTTTTATTGTTTGTAGCAAAGTCACATTGTTGCTGACCACAAACAATGCCAGCAGCTCACAAGTATCTAGATATTCAGATATGCACGACTATGCCGGTTGGAGACTGGAACTTAGCCAGACAGCCCGCGTGGCCCACATGAGCTACACGCCGACAACAAAAAAAAATAAATAAAAACATAAAAAAGTAAAACTATAAACTTTTTCGTTACTAAATAAAATGCACATACGAACAATTTATATCCATAGATATGTATATACATATACTATACTTGAAACCGTCATTCCCTCAATAACTGAGTTGTTAACTTATTTTATTGCCGTAGCGCTTGACTGCTGAGCGCAGTTGATCTGTTGCGCTGTCGCTCGTTGATGCCGGCTGATTGTGCGGTAAACTTGTTGCTCGTCTTATGTCAGCGCGCGCTGAAGGCTGTCAATGTTGCAACAATAATAACAACAACAACAACAGCAAGAACTATAACAATACCCGCTATAACGATGGCATTAAACCTTTTTGATTTTGTTGCATACATTCCGATTTTTGAACATTTTATTTCATTAATGCATGTAAAATCCCAGCAGCAAGCACCAATATGCCACGCCATAACGTTCACCAGCAGTTCCGTCGCCTGCATCGTTAGCTGGCAGGCAGTTAGCTCGTCACGCGGACTGTAGTAAAATTTAATCGTAAACATTCAATACTCCCCGCATCCTTCCGACCGTGACTGTCGTGTCGCAGATATTGTTGCATATGTCATCTCTTAATGCCAAGTGTTGCTTAAGTGGTATGCCACAGTTTTAAGCTGACTGGGCACACCGAAAAGTATGTATACAACTTTTGTTGTAGTTATGTATGCGTTTTTCGGTGCCATTTGGTTTTGCAACAATGAAAAATCTTCGAGCGTTTCGCAGCTGCCACATTGAGTGTAGGCAAATATGATGCGTACCATTTAAATGAGCCGTACGACATTTTCGCGCTCACTGCTTTAGAAAGGGAAATGAACACATTCCTCATTGTAGCCTTAAGATACTTCAACATAATTTAAGGCTTTTTTAAATCACATGAGGCATGTATTGCCAAGGAGAACATTATTCAGCAACGTTTTTTAGCATTGCAAAAATATATGTGCAACTAAATTAATACGACCAGTATAAGGCTGACAAAAATTTTGGTGTGCTGACAAAAATTTTATTGCGCTGAATTGTAAAAAAATTTCAATTATTTTTATAGTGAATTCTAATGAGTTTTACACAAACCAACTTAAAAAAGTAACATTAAAAAGTTGAGATTTTCTCAACTCTAAGTTGAAAATTTTAGCTATTTTGTTTAATTCAGCTATCGCGTTGAATAAAAAAATTGCCTTTATACTACTATTAGTTTTGTATATATAAAACAAGCATTTATTTGCCCATCAAGCACTCGTTATAACTTCTGGGAAACCCTTTAGAAAATTGCATGAGCATACACATATGCTAATTTCGTTGTCACGAAGCAATTACCGTTTAGCGGTGAAAGCAAATTATGCATACAAATATTGCCACTTCATATAACTGACTCTTAATCGCCTTTAAAGCCTATTTATATAGTGTTGGAATCATCATTAGTCAATCGCTTACAATAGTACGTATGTTGCATACAAAATTTGTGTTGCATTAGTTAGTGCAATGAAAGTGCTTGCAAATGGCTGCGACGTGCAGTCGTCCATTGAAAATAAGTATATGTGTAAGTTTTATTAGTAAATGAAGAAAAAAGCAATGATGTTAAGATGTGCACATACATATGTAAATTTGGTCCGCTGAATTGCGCTGAATTACGCTGATTTTAGCAGAAATCAGCTGAAAATTTTTTATTGCGGTCTAATGATTGTAATTATTACATTTATAGTTGGCTGAATTACGCTGAATTGTCAGGTAAACACGGAAAACGTCTGCAACATTGCTCTAATACTTGCCGCTGTAATTAAAATTTAGCTGTATGCTGCTGAATATTCACACATTACTCTATTCAGTTGATTTTTTTTTTCAATTTTCAATAACTTTATACAACTTAGACTGAATTATTGCTTACAAATGTACTCTGTTAGTCGTAATTTTATTGGCATTTTGTAGCGTTGCGCGCACATGTTGTACATGTACATATTTTTATCATCAGTGCGCCTGCAATCGTCCTTGCTCCCCACCTTTTTGTGTGTCTGCGCCATTCGCAAAATTTTACTTCTATACAATTCAATTCAATTCGAGGGCTCGATGGACATACGAACAAATGTCGACATCAACGCTTCAAGTACCAACAATGATCGCTGTCATACTATTAAACACTCGCGAAAACAACAATAACAGTGGCGCGTCATTTTATGGCGTTGTAGTGTTTTGTTCCAACTGTCAGTTTGACAGTGCGCCTGCGTACTTGTGTCATAAATCATTTCGCCTCGCTGCCGAGGCAAGCTGTCATGCGCTTCTAGGGATCGCGCTTCGCTTTCATTGCAACGCTAACTTACGGATACTCCAACGGCAAGCATGCAATGTCGCAGAACGCTCGTACGCCCAGTTAGAGTAAGAGTATGGCTTTTGGGTTTTAGTTTACGCGCGCGCGCGCTCAAGTGTCTGTGTGTGTGTGTGTGAGTGCGCGCAAAATGTTGAATAAACATTTAAATGTGCGTTTAGTAACACATACTTAACGTTTGTATTTTTAAGTACTACTAGAGGCGGCTACTACAGCTCGCATGCGGTGGCGTTCTCGCAGCGGCATGCTTCAGCTAACAACGCTAAGTCATAAAATTCATTTTATTTCCATTGGATACTTGCTGTATTGCCATTTATTACACTTACTGTAGGTGTTGTTGTTGTTGTCACTCGTATTGTACTTGTTGCTACAAGTGTTGTTGCTTTGGACATAGTCAGTTAGTGCTAGCGCACCGTCACAAAGCTATGCGGCCTATAGCAACGCGCCGTGATTATGTTGTTATGGTTTGTATGGCGAGAAAATTGCAATATGTTGCAGTTGAACTTGTCAATATTATGCCATGCCTTGTTGTGCAACAACGTTGTTGTTGCATACTGATTTTTTACGCTTTTTGTTTTGGCTAGCTATATGTTGTTGTTACTTATGTCACTTGGTAGTTGTTATACGCGCGTTCTCCGCCTTTAAGCAAGGAGTGAAACTTTTTAATAGCTAACCAAGCTGCCGCTTTGTTGTTTTAATTTTTGCGCTCGTGTTTTCCGCTTTGTTTTTATACACCGACTGCCGAGCGTCGTAAAAATGTCAAATGTCAAGTTGACAGTTTAATTAGGTGAGGCTGTAACGAGGTATCCAACCAAGCGCAGGATTTATTTTTTCTTTCATTTCGCTTTTGTTATGTTGCACTCTGTTTTAGTGGCAGGCGAATTTTGACAGTGCGACTTTTTATTGCCTTCGCCTTTTGGTTGAGGTGTCTGGCAGTGCTTGAAAAGCGCAAATTTTGACTTTGACGTTTTTAAATGCAGCGACTTTTTTGCGTTTATTAACTCGCTGCAGCGACACGGTTACCGCCTGCTGTGATTAAGGTTGTGGAAAGTTTGCGAGCTTTTTTCGTGCTTCACTTTTTGTGCTCCTCTGATGCGCTGTGCATATGTATTGCTCATCATCATTAGCCTGAAATTCCAAATCGTTTTTAATGCGATTAAAAGTGACTAAAATGTCGAGCTTACAAGTATGTGTATGAAAGCAGATCTGAGCAAAAACTGAAATGAATTTCGAAATGATTAAGCTAAGGCCACAGCGCGCAGCAGAAAGTATCTAAAATGAAACAGACCGCGCAGCACTAAGCGTTTCAAAAACGTCTGATTTCTTTATAAAAAGCTTTGAACTGCTAACATGGAAATTATAAATACCACAGCCAACAACAACAGCAACTACTTATAAATGTATATTTGTATATACATATGCATACGAGATCAAGGCGTCGTCACTGCCCACGGCGTCAGCGCTTGGCTTAATAACGCTACTTCGTTTGTATTTTTCTTCCTTTTGCGGCTTTACAGCTTTCTGCGCTTTGTTTGCTACGCCAAGTTTGTGCTTTAAGTTTTTTGTTTTGCACGCGGCCGTCGACCAATTAAGGTGCGTTTAAATGACGCGTAAAATTTAACTTATCGCCGTTCATCTACAGACTTAAGACCGAAATGTTGTTGGTATGTTATTAAAAAAAAGTATATTATGCATATAAATAAATTTAAATTAAAAATAAATGAAAACTAAAAGTAAAAATAAATTAATTTAAATTTAAAAAAGTATAAAAACAGATTAACATGAATAGCAAATATTTTAAAGTGAGGTGGAACTAAAAATTATCTTTTGTTGCAACAAACTGTTTAGAACAGCTTCAAAGGCATTCTGTAAACAGTTAATACAACTTTTTAACTCAATATTAAGTTATGTATTCTGGGTTAAGATTATGCGATTTTCGAAAAATTTCATTTTCATAAATTTAAAAGCTTATTTTGAAATATATCTAAACTAAGAGTTTGTTCAAAATCAAATTTTAAAAAACATCTTTTCTCTTTTTTTCCAGATGGTGCAAGCAATACAAGTACTTCGGTTTCACCTTTTAGAGTTAGAAAAAGTAAGTACCAGTATTTATTTAATTAACAAAATATTTAAGTTATGAAAGAAGAATGCAAAAGAGTAAAATTTATTTACGAAAAAAAGAAAAAAATATTTTAAAAATTAATTAAAAAATAATATGTTTTTCATTATAAAACTATCATATTTTCAAGTCAAATATTTTTTTACAAAATACATTGCAACTTGCGGATAAGAAACCTTTTTGAATTTTTCTGTTAAAAAGATAAGAAATGAGCTGAATTTCGCTGAATGGCAACAATATTATTAAGTTGCATAAAGATTGTTTAAGATTTTTAAACATGTGCCATTTATTGCCAAACAACATGGTATTCAGCAATTTTTTATTGCATGGTATAAACATGCTTACTATTAAGTTGTTACGATACAAATAGCGCAGACAAAAAGTTTGTAGTGCTGACAAAAATATTACTCTGCTAAATACAAAATAAATCAATTTGAATTCAGTTATTTTCAAAAAGGTTGTCAACACTGACAATATTACACTAACAATGCAATGCTTACCGCTAGCTTCTCAACATTATGCTAAATGCATCTACAATAAATTGAGTTGCAACTAGTTGCTTACTTGAGCTGACGACACTTCAATAATAAAAACATACATGCATAAGGCGCTGAATTTAACTGAATAATATGAAATCTTGCTGAAAACACGCAACCTAAAGCATTTGGTCATAACAACTTATTTTACAAGCAAATTTTATACAATTGAATATAAATAATGTCGCATATAAAACAAGAAGTCACAAATGGTACAAAAACTCATTGAATGTACTTAAATTACGCAGACATTGCGAATTTCTTCAGCAGAACACCAACAATTACATACATATTCACATGGAAACGAGTTACATTGCCACATGATTGTCAGGCAATTTATGCGCCTTTTAAACTTGGCTGGTAGCTGAAAGCCAAATGTCTAAATTAAGTCAATACTGATCAGGGTGCAATGAAATGAAACGTCAAATGACAATAACCAGTCGAATAACTGGCTAAGCGGCTAAGAGGACGGGTAAATGCGGTGGACGGACGGACGGACGGATGCACGCGTTGACTACAGCCAGCTGGCTGAATGAATGAATGAGTAATTGGTTAGTTGGCTGAATTGTTGCTGACATGGTATGGTAATTGTTGTCAGCAATAAAAATCGTCAGCAGCGCTAACAAAGCGCACAACAAGAGCTGCTATTAAATTTCAACAGCAAACGAAGTGCACAACATATGCTGCTGTTCGCACAACTGTGCCACAATGGAAAATGTCAGCTTGGTGTGCGGAAAATAGCCCAAAATGTACACGTACACTGCTGTTGGCAATTCAATTTAATGCTTTATTTATGTGCGCATTTATTGTGCTCCCTATTATTCTCTCAATATATTAATGACCAATCAGTGGCGACATGAAAATGGCATACCACACACAAGTTGCGGGCTGACAAGCATATGTCGGCGCGTATTTTGAATATGAAAAATTGTTTTATATAGTACATATGTACATAACTTCAAATTTTTTGAAATTTTGAATTTTTTTTTGAATAAAATTTTTTTTTATATTTTTTTTTAATTTTCTCATGCTACTGCCACATATGCAATAGTTCCCACATTTACATAACTGCTCTCACATGTTATGACATACACATTACATGCATACATATATTCTATGCACATTCCTTAGCAGCTTATCAGCTCCATGTGACCACTTGCCGCCGTCACAGCTCATACAAATAGCAACATTAATGACTTGTTTCCCCCATTTTTTTTTGTTTTTATTTTCTGATTTTTATTTCAACTTTAATTGTGTCTCGCTTTTGTTTGTTTGCCTGCATAAACAAATAATTCCGCAACCATTCATAGCAACAAAAAAGCAACAAACACGATTTTAATGTATGCAAACAGCAACAAAAGTATCAAATGCGCCACCAACACGAACTTTAACAATATCGGCGGGAGCGGCGACGCCAACACCAAGCACCACAAAACAATAAAAGCAACAAATTGTCTATATAATAAAATAAATGGCAATAATAAAAGCAGCAGAGAGCAGGTGAAAAGTGAGATACGTTCATATGTATATATGTATGTGAAAAATAAAAGAACTATTTTTATTTATTATAGCAAAATGCTATAATATTCTCATTGTTTGACATGTGCTGTCATAGAATGCAGTAATTTTGCGAGGGAAAGATTTTTTTGCCAAAGCGATATTATTGCTTAATATTTTTGTATGGGTATTAGTATCTTTTATATGGATACGTGTACAAACATTTAATATTTTTAATTGAAATGAAAATTTTCAAAATTTTTGAAGTTCAAAACTTAAATTTTCGAAAGTGTTCTGAACTCGAAATATAGTCAAACATCAAAAGTCTAAAATGCCCTTCACGCTCTAAGCGCTACCTCTACTGCTGCTAATAAAACCGTTATAGGGTCACTCTTATGTATTTCCTGTCTGTATGCCTATCTCTTCTTCTATCTAAGCGCACTAATACCCACCATAAAAATCATAAGGTGTGATTTTACATTACATATACAGGTGGTTTCTAATTTTAAATTCTTTTCAAAGTCATTCATTTTCTTACATTTTTTTAATTTAAAATGTAACAAAAACATAATTAATATATGAAAATGTCTACGCATTTGTAATTTTTATAATATACTGAGACCAAAGCATTGAATATCCAGCCATCCTTCTAAACAACACGTTGTTTGCACCACCGCATACTTTCTCAGGGTCAACTCGTCAATTTTCAGTTCAAAAGATTATATCATACTGCCAACTTTTAACGCTTTGCTAGACATCCGCACTTAGTCTATCAAAAATAGCATGCATAAATTACTAGAAATTAAAAAAAAATAAAAATATAGTTTTTGGCTTGTTTGCATTAGATTCATGCGCTGTTGGTTAGTAAATTCACAGCAACACCCACTTCATTATAACATTTTTTCTACATGACTTTTTTCGGCTACTAATTTCTACTAAAGAGCTAATTGTTAGTTTTTCCTAATTTGCTACAAGCGTTTTATTGGGGGTGTTTTATTTTTATACCATTTCGAGTGACCCTCAAAATTTTTTATATACACACTGAAGAAGAAAAAAAATGCAAAACAGCTTGAAAATTCAAAATTAATGCGTGTTGCTCAAAAATTAATTAAGCAAATGCCTAGCCAAGCATAACTTGGACAAAACTTCAGCGTCAGCGCACTAGTCCGTCAGCCGTGAGTGGTGGTCACTACAAACCAAACTGCACATAACTACAATAATATCATTATGTCAATAAAATGTGCGCCATAAAAAACGCTACAGTGGCCACTGCGTTCTTGAGCGCGCAACGCGGCTTGACTGTGTCTACAAGCTGCCACAACAACGGCGTGTTACTTTTTCATGTTAATTATTATTTTTTATTTTTTGGGTATTTTCAACTGTTCACTTGGCGCGCAGCGTCTTGTGATTTTCGTTAAGAATTAAGTGAGAAATTATGCAACTGCGTTTTATTAGTACGAAAGCAAGTATATTAAATACCTGTATGTGTGTGTGTGCTTACTATGTTAAAGTTACAATAAATTCCAACTTAGCGGCAAAGAAATATATTACTCACTTTGCCTGCGCTTTGGCGTTGGCAATGCGGGTGACCCACGATCGTCAAGGTGGAATCCATGCATATACCTATGTTGTATCGCAGCTTTTAGCCTTCGCATCAGTTGATATGTGGCGCAACATGTTGCTTATCAACATTTTCATATTGCCGCTTCACATGACCAATGTTTTTCTTTTACATTTTGATCGCTTTCGAGCTGAACTTGATCCCTCTACTCGCCAAAGAAAAAATACAAGAAAAAAAATGGAATAAAATAAATTTAAAAAAAAAATAAAAAATAAATAAGTGTAGAAATTGTTGAAAATCAATGATCGCATACAAATGAATCGCGCAGTCTGTGTCTCTGCCGTGTTCCAGTTTGGTTTTTTTGGTTAATTCGTTTTTGTTGTATTTGTTCAGGTAAATACGATTGTCTGCTGCGGTTGCTATATATTATTGTTGTCTGCTGTTCGATTGTTGCATTGCCTATATATATATGTACATACAAACATACATAAGAGTCTGTTTTGGTTTCAATTTCAATTCGACTTTCAAGTTTGCTCCGAAACTTCGCTGCTGCAACTGTGTTGTTGTTGTTCATCTTTTTCTCACTTTATTTTGGAAACATGGCTTATTTTATATTTTGTTGTTTTTTTGTTTCAGAATGGTATTATTTTCGGTAAGCGTCAGTTTTTGTTGTCACATTTTTGGCCTAAAACTGATTCGGGATTTGTGTTTTTTTTACACTGCTTGTCGTATTGCCGGCTTGCATTGCTTGCTGACACACTGACTTAACCAGCACTCGTTATAAGCGTAGTGATGACAAACTGGTTTTCGCTTGTGACTTAGATACTTTTTTTCTTAATTCGTGTTGTTAAAAATACGTTTAATATGCTTATAAATAGTCAAAATTATAAAATTAAATAAACTTTTATTTCTTATATCGCAGTATTACTAAGTAGTTTTTTATTAACTAAACTTTGCTTATCAAAACACATACCACTTGTATTTATTTGTGTTTAAGTTTCTGATTTACTGAGCTGAATCGCCTTTTTTGCAGTTAAACTTCGCATAGGTGCTAGTAAACTTTTTATACATTGATGTATACACATATTCAGCTCAGCTGAATTGCGCTGAATTTAAATTTTACTCGTATTTTTAAAAGCTTTTGCTAGTCAATTGTTGTTTACACAGTTCCTGCATTGATTAGCTTAGTTACTAATATCAATTACAAGCATAACTAATTCAACTGCTTGTTTTCTCATGCCTACGCTGCTGAATCACGCACCACGGTCCGTCGGACCATGCGAACGTTGATTCATTTTGCGTAACGCAATGAAACGGTGAAATTAATTTTGTACAACCAAGAATTGCTTTGAATGCATATTGTGCAAACGCAACAGCGCAAG